CTGGCTCCTCCTAGTGCTCCTAATGGGCATTTGCAAGAATCCACCGGGCCTGAACGAAAACAACCAATCAGAGCAAAGAAAGATAGCTGATAGTTGAGTCTCACTGCCAGGTCTGCAAAACAACCCAAGCATTTGCATTTGAATTTTGGTTGTTTTTGTTCAGGCAGGATTTTTACAAATGTCATTAGGAGCACTAGGAGGAACCAGAGAAACCTGATTCTCACAGGTTACCTGTCTCGTGTACTACTGACAGGATACAGTGAAAGTTTTAGCAAATATGACAAAAAAAATATTTTCATGAAAGTGACCTACTGCAGCTTTAAGTTTCTGTTCCATTCAGTGTAGCAGAGCCTCTCCAGCGAGCAGACATGCACAATAGCAGCAGTCTGACTGTTTGACCTGAATGGGACTTTAATTAATGTATCATTGGTAACACCTGTGTTTAATCTAATATTTCATGTCAAAATGGCTGCTGTGAAGAAGGTCTATTCTTATTAGCCAGTTCCTCCTAAAAGGTCTCCAGCTGAACGCTTGGGAACATTTAAGCTCTAGTCGGGCGGTTTTTAAGCCCACTTTATCCGAACTTACGGTGTGTAAAACTGTTCAGTTGTAGCTGTACCGTTAAGTTACACGTCCTTATACCGTTACCTGAAATGTTCCTCACAAATACTGGTGAAACGGTCAGTCGTAACGTTTTGCAAAAAGAATAAGTGGTGTATATTTCTGGCAGGGACGTTTAACTATCTGAAAACCACAAATGACACAACGTTGAACCGCGACAGAGCTGACAGTTAAAGGCCAGCGGGACATTATCCCTGAGCGGAGCGGTCCACGCCCTTCGACAGGACTAACGTTATAGCAACTGGAAGCTAGCGGCTAATTAGCTACAGTAGGTTAGCCAGCGGAGCGGTTGTCTAAACACACTTTAATACGTTAAAGTAACTTAAATTGTGTCCAAAAAGGGAAAAGGGAGAACATGACATGTTCTGACCCGTCAGGTCGCTAATGCCGATCAACGTTACACCAGCGAACTAGCCTGTTAGTTGCCTGACTAACTCTTGTCTATGAATGTGATAAACAAACTTACAGTTCCTGATGTCAGAGATGAACACGGCCAGGCCACGCATCCCATCCCCTTTAGAGACGGCAGGCATTTTGTACACCCCCTGTTAATGTAACGTTTTCTCTTCTGTATCTAAAATAGCCCAACTATATGGGGCAACTTTATTCAAAGTTTGCGAACCAGCTAGTGACCGCTGTACAGTACAGGGAGCCCCGATATATGACGGAGACGGGAACCAGACAAGCTGCGGCTGCGTCCCATACATCTGGAGCTACACCTAAAAGCAGGGCTGCGTCCCATACATGTGCAGTTTCACAACAACAAAAACAACCAGCGTTCCCTCACGTGGATCAACCTAATAAACTCTGGGGTTGTGTCGCAAACATAAAATTAACTCTAAAGCTGAAATCAATGTTTTATTATTTTTTTCTTCTTTTATATTTTATCTTTATTTATTATATTTATGTCTATTAACTTGTATTCTTTGTTTTTAATGCTGCCATTGAAATACAGTATTATTATTATTATAAAAATAAATAAAATGAATACAAAGTATGAAAAAATAAATTAACAATGCTATAAATAGTGTACATTCTTGTGTATGATATTAACTTTACATTTCTCTTAAGAACTGCAATCTGGTACTTTCTTTGTAAACATGTGTAACATAGTAATGTTATACACACTGAACGTTCTCAGTACTTTCAAAATTTCAAAACATGGGCAACATCATATTTGTCCCCTTTGTCATTTTGGGTTACCCGGTGTAAATTCCATGGGTCGAGGAGCCGACTAGTTGCCCCCTATCCTCCACATACAGCAGCTTGGGATGACCATTCTATTTCCCTCTTCCAACTGACCTGGGCATTGACACCTCCCTCTGCAACTGGATACTGGACTTCCTAACCAACAGATCCCAGTCTGTTAGGTTAGACAACCTCACCTCCTCAATCCTCACCCTGAACACCGGTGCACCACAGGACTCTGTGCTGAGTCCCCTCCACGACTGCATGCCAGTACTATGGTTCTAACAACAACCAGACCCCCAACACCAAGAAGACCAAAGAGTTCATTGTGGACCTCAGGAAGACCAAAGACAGCACATACAACCCCATCCGTATCAATGGGACAGAGGTTGAATGTGACATCAGCTTTGAGTTTGGGGTTCACATCTCTGAGGACCTTTGTTACTTGTCTGGGCTGGAAAGCACTGCAGAGGGTGGTGAACACTGCCCAGAGAATCACCGGTACTCCACTATAAATCCACAGCTTATGTACTTTACCGTTAACACACATGAATCATTTTTACTGGTCTAGCACAAGCTGTGTCTGCGGAGGGCACGCAGCATCATCAGAGACAACTCTCACCCCTGGCCACAGATTGTTGGCCTCCTCCCCTCTGGGAGGCGCAATAGGATTCTTTGTTGCTGATCTCTGCACCACACTGATACTATATATTCCCTACTGCAACTTCTGCACATACTCTGTATATACTGTACTCTAAACACTGTATATATCTAGTGTACTCATATAACAGTTTACACTGAATATATCATCTACCCCTTACTGTTATCCTATTATTACCTGCTTTACCCGTGTACATTACTCTGCACTTTACTGCTTTTACACTGCTGGTTAGATGCTACACTGCATGTAATTTTCTCAGTACTCTGTGCAATGACAAATTTAATTTAATCTAATCTAATGTTGCTACAACAGAAGCTGCCAGTAAGCAGCATACCTGAACTCCCTCAAATCAACACCAGGTTAACGACTGTTTTTGGATTCAACATCTGAAATATAAGTTAGAGAGGGAGTAATGTGATGAGCCTGTTGCTTTCTTTTAGCATGGCTTTTGCAATTCTCTGTCTGTATTGTGTATGTTTTAAATCATTTTTTAACAACGATACA